AACTTGGAACAATGTTATCTCAAAACAGAACGTTTTCCAAAATTCAGTGATGTATTCGTTTTTAATATAGGCGTCGGAACCGGGGGTCGGGTGGGCATTGGCGGATTTAAGGGGGGCGTGGGGGCGCACCACCCCCCCCCCCTAAAATTTTCAAAGTATGACATGACTAATATTAATAATGCCATACTTTGGTTTTATAACTAATGGTCAATTAAAAAATGGAAAAATACTACAATATTTAAAGGCTGGTCGAAGGTAAATACTAGTAAATGAATTTAAAATCAGACGGTCTACGTTACAAGCCCGTCCACTGATTGTTGTATTTATTTATCAAATGGTGTAACTATGCAGTAATTTACTTACATAGATACAAGACTTTTTTCATTACACACATCTCATAATCTTTCCATATATATGGAATTTAACGTCAGGATATAGGTTAGGATGGTGTAACTTCGACCACCTGGTTATTTTCGACCGTTCATAAATACCTTAAAATAATTTGTTTATAACCCATTATAGTGTACATACAAATACATGTATTTTATGCTGAAAGAAAATGCATTTTTCATATACAAATCAATGTCGATAATAATAGGCGAAATTTATTTCTTCACTGGAAAATTACATCGAAGAAGAAACTTATAATTGCCCGAAAAATTACGGACGAGTATTTTTAAACCATTGCTGGGAATTATCAGTTTATCACCTCTGAAAATATCTTGTATATATAGAAAGACACAGTGGATATTCCTGGCGTGAAATTTATCAACTATGTTTAATTTTGCAACTTAAATTCATACCTTTTTAATTTATAGTATTTAGTTTTTACAAATAAAATGCAAATCAGCTGAACAGAAATCGGCGGAAATTACCCATGCATGAATACGGCGTCAGCGGGTAACTCAATTCGACCAATGAAAAAGACGCAATGCAATTTGTTACCAGAAAAAAATCATATCCACCCTCCGTATAAAAAAATTATTAGGATAAGTATTATGTACAAGAATACTCCGTAGAAACTAGTTCTATAACAGTGAAAAAATCATCTGTTCTGTTTACATGCGGTTTAGATGCCTGCGCTTATATACACATTTGTAGCGTGCCTTGACAAATCGGCAAATCAGTCTCTGGGCACCTGGTGCACTTCATGTCTTCAAATTAGGTACATTTTGAAAATTACTTCTTTTTTTGTCAGCATTTTTTCACAATCTTTTATGTTTTACAACAGAATAATTAAAATTAATATATATATATTTTTAAATATGAAGCGAATAATTTCGTTTATATTTGCACATCGATCGAAAATATCTCGTGTGCGGTCGAAGTTACCCAACACGCATATCTTGTAAATTGAACACATTTGTTTTATATCATGACGAATAATACATATAATACAATGTAATCTGAACAATAAAAGGTATTCCGAAGGAAAATGGATCCAGTAAAAGTTGAGTGTAATGCATGTAATAGGCAGTGACATACTTGAACAAATCTAAATATAAAAAAAAATAATCGGTCGAAATTACACCACGGTACTTTGAAAAACATTCTAATTTTTGTGACTTCTTGTATATCTAGGTAAACTGCTATTTTTAAAATCTGATCTTGTTTGTTCGTTGTTTTTTTGGTTTGCTTGTGTGTGTGTGTTTGTATGTGTTTTTTCTTTTAAAAAGTGAAATATCGTAGTGTACATAACTAATTAATACCACTATTTTTGTGTCTGGTTTTACTCTTAAAATTCACGAAAACCCAGGAGCTTCCGAGGGCTTTGCCACATGGTCCCCCACCAGGGCTTCGCCCTGGACCCACTGGGGGCCTTAAGGCGGCCCCCAGACCCCCCCCCTGAACGAAGTTATCCACGCCCCCCCATCACATATCGTATCCGCTCATGGTGGGCTGGGGGGGGGGGGGCTTAGCCCCCACTTTTTTTGCAAAGGCATTGAACATTGGGGCGTAGGTTTAGCCCCCTCCCCCCCACTTTCAACAACAGGCACATTGCAGTGTAATCAAAGAAAGGTAAGAGTGGTAGCGTTTGAAAAAAAATTTGCTACTGAAAGAAGTTCGATTCCCCCTCCCCCCCCCCTCCCCCACGATATAGGATTTTCGGGTTTGGACAATTTTTTAATTTTCCTTTTTTTTTTTCAAGTTTTTTTCAGGTTTGAAATTTTTTCTCTTTCAATTAGCCCCCCCCCCCCTTTCAATTTGCTTCCGACGCCTATGCGTTTTATTAATCCTTTCGTATCTTATATTATATTTTGAGTCTGTCATTAACAATTTTCAACTTTTTCCATCTTATGCACGAATTTTTTGTTTGACTCGAGAAAAAACTCAATTTTATTTTTATTTTTCCACAGACCGAGAATAACACGTATTTATTGAGTCCACCTTGCCTTGTTTTGCCTTTTTGCCACTTTATGTACTAATTGAAAAATGTATACTTCCGTATTAGGAATATTGGATTTCCATTCTTTCGGGACATACTTTAGCACTTACGGTCGAAAAGTATTATGCACATAAGCAACAAGCCAAGAAATGCACTCATTCATGCCGAAATCAAAAGAAAGTTTTTCTCATGTTCAGAGTATTACATTAGTCGACCTTGTATGCGTGTACATTGACTGAAAATTTTCGTTTGTAAGTTTTTTTCCCCTCTGACGAGTTATTTTTTAATGAAAATGCCTTTACCAAAACAATACTAATGATTAATTGATGATTTTATGAGGTCCCGACCCTATACATTTTATTTTACAATGCGTGTATACGAGTCAGAAGATTGTATTCCTGTATAAACAGGCGCAGATCCTGGATTTTTTTTCCAAGGAGGGTCCAACCCAGTCAAATAATTTCCCAACCAGGAAATAAAGTCCATTTTCCAAACGTGTAAAAAACCTATTTTGTGGTGGTGGGGTCCACGTTTTCAAGGGGGGGGGGGGTTGTCCAAAGTCATTTTTATTTGCTTCAGTATATACTTTTTATAACTGCAAATTTCGGGGGGCGGTCCGGACCCCCCGACCCCCGCTAGATCCGTGCATGTATATTGCAGGATTTTATTCATCTGTATACACAGTCTGATTGAAAGTAAGTACACAGTATTTATCTGACATGTTTTAATCATATTTTACATATTAACTTGTTTAATTGTATGGTAATATTGTTTTTACTTAAGCAAAAGTCCAACTGCACGCGTTACGATATACATGTCTAAAGATAAATTTACACTAAGAATGTTTCGTGAAACAGCTGTGTCTTTAAGGAACATCCCAAGTTATAACTTACGAATGTCTTAATTTATGTCTCAGGACATCATCGTAAAACGGGCTTAAAGATAACTCTATTGTCTTTTAGTTTTTTTTTTTTTTCTTCTTCTCGTCTCCTTTATAAATATGAGTGCATAAAGCATATTTTCATCCCAATAAAATTTGAGATATAATTTGTTCGTAAATGTGTATGCAATAATGGTTTTCACAAGCGTATTGCCATATCTTAAAAATATTATTTTCATTATATCGTATGTTTACGTAATTGCAAGAGTTTTCGATTGCAAAGAATACAGAAATAATGGACATTGAATTTTGAGGAACACTATTATCGATTATAAAAGTAAATGTAGTTTCTTTTTAAAATTACATTTTATCCCATAATGATATTAACAACCTGACACTTTACAATTTTAGGTATCCAAAAATAAATGTCATTTCTTACTTAGAATACAGATTCTCATAAAAAATTCACTGTTATGCTGTTTAAGAGGGAAACCAAATGATATGAATTGACAAAATAGTCTTATATGTTATAGACATCTTCAAATCAAATTCAAGTTGTTAATTTACTAACAATATACATGATTGTCAAGAATTTGATGCGTATTTTAGGGAAAAGACGGGACCATACTAATTTTCTTAGTGATTTTGGTATAGAAAGCACATTTGAAAATATGTTCTCTCCTAGTTCTGACTTTTCTTGTTTCAATTGATACATAATGCATTTTTAAAATGTTGGTCGTTCATGTTAATATTGCCCTATTGAAAGCGTCATGTAAGTTACACATTCTACGAAGCCTGATGTTTTTATTTGACAGAAAATCATCAGAAAAATTATTACTTAATTTCACTCGTTATGCCTGTTATTGAATATGCTGAAGTTATTTGGGACAATATACCACGGGATTTATCAGATAAGTTTGAAAAAAAAAATTAAAACAGATGCAGTTCGTAAAGTAACAGGTGCGACATACATGTAACTTGTGAGTTTATATGATCTTTATCATGAGATTATGTGGGATTCTTTCCTCAGTAGAAATAAAAACACAAAATAATAAAAATTTCATAATATGGTACAAGGGAGTACCACAGTTATTAACTGAACACAATGATATCCCACAAGACGATCACACTGCATTATTCAATCGAAGTTAAACACAAACTACTTATGCACAATCGTTTCTTCCATCCACTACACAGCTTTTGAATGAACTACCGATAAATGTGCAAGAGAATCCTTCACTATCAAATTTAAAACGCCTTTTTATGGATATAATGAAATGTTGTGTTCCAAATTTAAATAAATTTTAAATATGTAGGTAAACTATAAAAAAAAAAAAAAAAAAAAAAAAAAAAAAAAACCTGAAAGCCTTTCAATTTTGCAAAGATAAATTACTAACTTAAAATATGCAGCGAGAAAAGATTGATGGATAGAAAGATTTATATTTTAATCCAGAAGCCTTTTAGCACTCAGTTTTTCAATTCCCTTTCTTACAAAAAGTACAGTAAACTAGCATTTTCATATATCCCATGTGCAGAAGATTGATACGTTAAAGGAACCTTGTACGAAAACAAAACAGATATTTAAATTAAATGTAGATTTTACATTCTTATAAAACGTAAAATGTATACATGACACATTTAGTATAAATGGGGTTAAGTAATACAGTAATTTTCTTTAATATACAGAAACAACAGCAAAAATTATCGAAGACCTGATACAAATTCATATAGAACATGTCTTTTGCAAAAGCGCATATTCTTATGCCAATGCTGATGTTTGCAACTCGCAATGATGTCAGAAATACTAGCAACGCTACAGAGAATCAAAAATCTCTCAGTGTGGACACGCTCGCTATGCAGCAATTTCCACTGAGTAATGTGAGTAGGAAAACCATCAACGATACTGAGAATATTAAGTCTCTAAAGGTGGACACATCCTCTATCCAGCAGCTAGTTCTGAATCAAAATACGAATGATATAAGCAACGCTTCAGATAATACGAAATCGTTTGAAATGGACAAAATCTCTATCCAGCAGTTTCCTTTGAATCAAGAGATAATGAATACTAGCAACACTCCATTGGATTTAAAGTCTGTAAAGGTTGATAAGCTATTTATCCAGCAGTTTCTCCTCAATGAATTATTCGGAAATATTAGCGATGCAACAGAGGATACAAGGACTCAAAAAGTAAATTCCACTTCCACTACCGTCCAGAAGTTTCTTATAAATCAGGAGGCGAACAATACGGACAACTTCACAGAAGATTCAAATCTTCTTAAGGTGGAAACATCCATTATCCAACAGCTACTTTTGAATCAAGAGATCAGAAATAACAGCAACATTACGGGGGATTCAAAGTTACTTAAAAAAGACACACCATCTATTAAAGAGATACGAAATACGAGCAACACTACAAAGAAATTAAAGTCTCTAACGGTGGATACAGACTCTATTAAGCAGCTTCCTCTGAATGAAAAGACGGGGAATACCAACACCGCTACAGAGAATTCTAAAACACGAAAACCGAATAACAACTCTGTACAGCTGCTTCCTCTAGGTAATGAGATATTGGAAGCAAGCAACACTGTAGGAGATTCAAGGACTCTAAAAGAAGACATACCTTCTTCAAAACAGCTTGTTATGAACAAAGAGATTGGGCATACAACCAACGTTACAGAGGATTCCAAGTCTTTTAAGGTTGACAGGTCATTTACTCAGCAGCTTCCTCTGCATCAAGAGATCGGAAATACCAGCAACAACACCAAGGATACAATGTCTCTTAAAAGTGACACTAATCCTATCCAGCAGACTCCTCTGAATAAAGAAATTAGGAATGCTAGCAACGCTACAGAGGATGTAAAGTCTCAAAAAATAGACACTTCAACTAATCAGCAGCAGTCTCTGAATCAAGAGGTAAAGAATATTAGCAACGTAACAGTCGATTTAAAGTCTTTAAAGGTGGACATGTCTACTACTCAGCAGTTCCTTCTGAATGAAGATACCACGATTTCCGAGAAATTTAAGTTTATAAAAGCGGGCATGCCCTCAGTTCCGAAGCTTGCTCTGTATGAAGAAACGGAGAATACCAGCTATACTACAAAAGGTTTAAAATCTCTAAATGTTGTCATGCCCTCTACTCAAGGGCTTCCCCTGAATCAAAAGACCGGGAATACCAACATCACAGAGGACTCAAACGCTCTAACTGGGAACACAACCTCCATGCTTTTTATGAACCAAGACACCAGGAATACCAGCAACGTTACAGAGAATTCCAATCCCAAGCTTTTAAACGTTGACACGCCCTTAACTGAGCACTTTCTTCTAATACAGGAGGTCAGAAACACCAGCAAAGCTACAGAAGACTCAAAGTCTCTTAAAAATGACTCTCCTCCTACCAAACAGCTTCATCTGAATCAAGATATAAAAAATACCAGCATCACCACAGAGGATTTGAAGGCTCTAGATAATAATTTTGTCCAGAATCTTCATCTGAATAAAAAAACCAGGGATACCCGTAACGCTACAGAGGAATCAAATTCTCTCATTGCAGACACATTGTCTGTCCAGCAGTTTTCTCTTGATCAAATGGCTGGTAATTATAATAGAAGCAACCCTACAGAGGATTCAAAGTCTACTAATGTGGACTTACCTTCTATCCAGCAGCTGCCTCTAAATCAAGAGGAAAGGAATATCAACAACGATACAGAAAATTTCAAGTCTGTGAAAGTGGACATGCCCAAGATTCAAAAGCTGCTTCTCTATGAAGAAACGGGGGATACTAGCAACACTACAGAAGATTTAAAATCTCTAGAGGTTGTCTTGCCCTCTTCTCAGGAACTTCTTTTAAATCAAGAGACCAGGAATACCAGCATTGTAACAGAGGATTCCAATACTCTAACAGTAGGCACTTCCTCCATGCCAAAACCTATAATGAGCAATGAGACCAGAAATACCAGCAACCTTACAGGGGATTCCATTTCTCGTACGGTTGACACACCCTTAACCAGACAGCTTCTGATACAAGAAATCAGAAATTCAAGCAACAACACAGAGGATTCAAAGTCTCTTAAAAATGATAATGGTTATATCCAGCAGCTTTATCTGAATCAAGGTATAAGAAACACAAGCAACACTATAGAGGATTTGAAGGCTCTAAAATTTGATAACCGTTCTGACCAGAATCTTCTTCGAAATCAAAAAAGAAATAATACCAGTAAAGCTACAGAGGAATCAAAGTTTCTCAATGCAGAAAAGTTGTCTCTCCAGCAGCTCCTTCTAGAGAAAGTTGCTGGAAATACAAGCAATGCTACAGAGAATTCAAATTCTTTTTATGTGAACTCATCCTCTATTCAGCAACTGTCTCTGAATCAAGTGATAAGTAATATCAACAATGCTACAGAGAAATTCAAGTCTGCGAGAGTGGACATGCCCTCAATGCAGATGCTTGATCTGTATGAAGAAACGGAGGATACCAGCAACACTACAGAATATTTAAAATCTCTAAAAGTAGACATGCTTTCAACTCAAGGGCCTCCTCTAAATCAAAAGATAAGGAATGACAGCAAACCTACAGAGAGTTTAAAGATTCTAAACGTGGACACTCGCTCTATGACAGATCCTCTTTGGAGCAGAGAAACCAGGAAAACTAGAAACGTTACAAGGGAACCCATTTCTTTTAAGGGTGACACGCCCTTAACCCATCAGCTCCCGATACAGGAGATCGGAAATACAAGCAACACTACAGAGGATTCAACGTCTCTTAAAAATGAGACTGCATCCATCCAGCAGCTTCATCTGAGTCAAAATATAAGAAATACCAGCAACACTACAAAAGATTTGAAGGCTCTAAAAGTCGCTAAACCTTCTGGACAGAATCTTCCAAATCAAGAAACCAGGAAAACCAATAAGCTGCCTCTATATGAAGAAACAGTAAATACAAGCAACATTACAGAGGGTTTGAAATCTCTAAAGTTTGACATTCCTTCTACTCAGGAGAATCTTCTGAATCAAGAGACTAGGAATATCAGCATCGCTACAGAGGATTCAAAGATTTCCCTAGTGGACCCTCCCTCCATGCCAAAACCTATTATGAACAATGAGACCAGAAATACAAGCTACGCTACAGGGGATTCTATTTCTCTTAAGGTCAACAGGCCCTTATCTCAGCAGATTTTTCTGATCCAGGATTTCAGAAATACAAGCAACAATACAGAGGATTCAAAGACTCTTAAAAATGACACTGCTTCTATCCAGGAGCTTTATCTAAATCAAGAGATAAGAAATACCTACAACGCTACAGAAGATTTGAAGGCTCTAAAAGTCGCTAACCCTTTTGACCAGAATCCTCTTCTGAATCAAGAAACTAGGAATGCCAGTAAGGCTACAGAGGAATCAGAATCTCTCAATGCAGACACATTGCCTGTCCCGCAGCTTCTTCTAGATCAAGTTGCTGAGAATGCAAGCAGAGGTACAGAGGATTCAAAGTCTCTTAATGTGGACTCAACATCTATCCAGCAGCTCCCTCTGAAGCTGCCAGCTCCCTCCACGCCAAAACCTTTTAGAAGCAAAGAGACCAGGAGAACTAGAAACGTTACAGGAGAATCTATTTCTCTTAAGGTCAACACGCCTTTAACTCAGCAGCTTCTGATGCAGGAAATCAGAAATACAAGCAACATTACAGGGAATTCAAAGTCTCTAAAAAATGGCACTGCTTCTATCCAGCAGCTTCATCTGAGTCAAAATATCAGTAATACCAATAACACTACAGAGGATTTGAAGGCTCTCAATGTTGATGAACCTTTTGTCCAGAATCATCTTCTGAATCAAGAAACCAGTAATACCAGTAACGCTACAGGAGAACCAAAGTCTCTCAATACAGACAAATTGTCTGTCCTGCAGCTTCCTCTGGATCAAGTTGCTGGAAATACAAGCAACGCTACAGAAGATTCAAAGTCTCTTAATGTGCTCTCACCCTCTATCCAGCAGCTGCCTCTAAATCAAGTGATAAGGAATATCAACAACGCTACAGTAAAAGTGGACATGCCCTTAATTCAAAAGCTTAATCTGTATGAAGAAACGGAAAATACCAGCAATGCTATAGAAGATTTGAAATCTCTAAAGGTTTACTTCCCCTCTTCTCAAAAGCTTCTTTTAAATCAAGAGACAAGGAATACCAGCAACGCTACAGAAAATTCAAAGTTTCTTAATGTGAACACACATTCTATTGAGCAGCCTCTTCTTAATCAAGAAGTAAGAAATACCAGCAATACTACAGAAAATTTGAAAGTTCTTAAAGTAGACATCCCCTTTGTCAAGAATCATCTTCTCAATCAAGAAACCAGGTATACACGCAACGCTACAGAAGATACAAAATCTCTTAAATTGGACACTCCAACTTATCAACAGCTTCCTCGCAATCAAGATAATTTGAAAATTAGCAATGTTACAGAAGACGCAAAATCTTTGAAGGTGGCCACGTCCTCTATTCGACAGAACCTTCGGAATGGGCAGAACAGAAATATTACAGAGGACACGGAGTCTCTGATGATTGAAACACCCTCAAATCAACAGCTTCATTTCAATCAGGAGACAAGTAATGCAAGCAACCTAATAGAGGATTCAATGCCCCTACAGGCTGAAACGCCGTCTATAAAGCAGCCTCTAAATCAATTTGCTGGGAATAGCAGGAACGCTACTGAATATTCAAAGTCTTCTAAAATGGACATGTCCATCGTAGAGCAACTACCCTTTAAACAAGAGATAAGAAATACAAGTAATACTACAGAGAAAATAAAATCTGAAAAAATGGACATATCCTCAATTCAAACGTTTCCATGGTATGAGGAGACGGTAAATTCCAAGAACGCCACAGAAGATTTTAAGTCTCTAAAGGTTATGCGGCCCTCTTCTCAAAACCTTCTTATGAATAAAGAGACCGGGAATACCATGAATGCTACGGAGGATTTAAATAATGCAAAAGCAGATACGCTTTCTGTCCAGCAGCGAATTTTGAGCCAACAGACATTGAATACGAGCAACACTACAGACATTTCAAAGTCTCTAAAACAGGACACGCCATATATCCAGCCTCGTATTCTAAATCAAGTAACAAGGAACGCTACAGAGGATTTACCGACTCTTACGCCCACTGTCCAGCAGTTTTTTCTGAGTCAAGAGACACTGAATACCACCAACGCAACAGAGGATTCAAATTCTCTGAAAGTAGACACTTTTTCTATACACCAACTGTATGAGACCAGGAATACCAATAACGTTACAGAAGATGTCAAGGCCCTAAACAATGACCGGCCCTTTATTCAGCAACCTCTTCTAATTCAAGAAATAAGAAAAAACAGCAATACTTCAGGGGTTTTAATTCCTCTAAAAGTGAATCCTAGCTCTATCAACCAGCTTCCTTTCAATCAAGAGATAAAGAATATCAGTAGTACTATAGAGGGTTCCAATTCTCTAAAAGTGGAAACGCCCTCTATCCATCAGCCTCAATACAGAGAGATGAAAAATACCAGCAACACTACAGAAGATTCGAAGCTTCTAAAAGTAGACACATCCTCTGTCCAGCAGTTTGTTTTCAATTCAGAGACCAGGAATGTGAGCAACGCTACAGAAGATTCAAAGTCTCAAAATGTTGATAAAACATCCGTCAAACAGCCTCTTCTGAATCTAGAAATCCATAATGACAGCAACATTACTGAGAATTTAGAATCTCTAAAACTTATCCAGCCATCTATCCAGCAGCTTTCGAGTCAAGAGATAAAGAATATTAGCAACACTACAGTTGATTCGAAGCCTCTAACTGTAGATACACCTTCTGTCCAGCAGTTTCTACTGAATCCAGAGATTAAGAATTCAAGCAACGCTACAGATGATACAACGTCTCTAAACGTTGGCGCATCTTCTGTCCTGCAGCTTCTTTTCAATCAAGAGAAAAGGAATACTAGCAATATTACAGATGATTCGAAGTTTTTAAACCTGGACAAGCCTTCTGTACTGAGTCTTCCTCTGTATTCAAAGACAATAAATATCACGAACGCTACGGAAGATTTGACTTCTCCAAAAATGGACATGCCCATTATTCAGCAGCTTCTTCTGAATCAAGGAGCCATACATACTAATACTACAGAGGATTCAGAGTTTCCTAAAGTTGATACGCTCTCTATCCAGCCGCTTATTCTGTATCAAGAGATTGGAAATACAAGCAACTCCACAAAATATTCGAAGTCTCTACATGTAGACACATTCTTTATTCAGCAGCCTCCTCGTAAACAAAAAACAAGTGATGTAAGCAACGCTACCGAGGATTTATTTTCCAAAAATATTGACACGCTCTCCATGCAGCAGCTTCTTCGAAATATGGAGACGGGAAATTCCAGCAATGATACGGAGGCTTCAAAGTCTCTTAAGGACGACAAGCCCTCTATCCAGCAAATTCTTCAGAATCAAGAGATCGGAAATATCAGTAAAAACGTGTTTCATTCAAAGCCTTTAAATTTTGACAATCCATTTATCCAGCCGGTTCTTCTGAATCCAGAGACCAGGTATACCAACAACGTTGAAGAGCCTTTTGAGCCTTTGAATATGGACTCGCCTTCTATCCAGCAGATTCTTCTAAATCAAGAGACTTTAATTAGAATTGAACTTGAGAAGAAATTTAGGAATGTGCAAGAGGATTTGGCAGTTCTGAGGACAGAAATCGAAGATATAAAAAAAGAATTTTTAAACACTATGCAGGTTCAAACTAAAAAGCTAATTGACTTTAAATCTAGTGTGAACAGGAGCATTGCATCAATAAATTCAAAATATATTCCAAACAAAAGAATTACAAATGAAAAAACAAGGCATACAGGTAAGAATTTCAATTTCATGAGTAAATGAGAAAAAATTATGTTTTGTAATACTAAATACACCAATTTTCAAATATGGTTACCAGTAAATTTTTCCTGAATTTAAATCAATTTTATTAATTAATATTTGTTTCAGCTGTTAGTTAAGCATCTTAATGCTTAATAGTATCTTCTTTGATTTCTTTTTTAGCTTCAGTATATAAATGTGTATTAGTATAAAGAATACGTAAAAATTTAAGGAAAAAATTACCGAGTGATAGACATGTTTAAATGTAAATGTACTGTTTATTCTATTCACATTTAATTTAAATGAAATACTTTAAGCCAAATATTTTTTTTAATTATGAAAAATGCTTTAAGAATGTTCCTATAATTTACAGGCCACTCTGAACAGATAGCATTCGATGCACGGATCGCATCTGTACTGGAATTCAAAGGCAGCCAGGGGTCTGTAGTACTTTTTGATCAAGTCCTCTTTAATCATGGCGATGGTTTTAACAGTACAACAGGCAAATTCACAGCGCCTAAAAATGGGCTATACATTTTTGGATGGCACATTTTACCTGGTTACCAGACGATTACACATACGGCTTTAATGATGAATAATAATGAGATATCAGGAAATTATTGCAACACAGAAAAGAATGCCGGACAACAACTATGCAGTAAAATGTCTGTGGTCCGGTTAGCTATCGGAGATAAGGTTTGGATAGGATATCCTCGACCTGGAGATAACCGATCGAAAGCCTATTTCTCCAGTTTCAGTGGTTTTAAAATTTAGAGAAGACTTTTGTAATGATTTCTTCAAACTTTCACTCCTAAAAAGAATGTGTCTGGAGGATACGAATCATTGTTTCTATAGACTTAAACGCCCAGGACATTTTTACATTCACATAAAGAAATTAATTTCCATGTTAGTATCAAATATACTGATATATCATTAAAGCATGTACATTTTTAGCACACAAAAGATTTTCTTAATTACATGTTTTATAAATACAAATAACTGTAATCTGTAACTAACTATCTTTTTTTAACAAGTTTTATCTTTATTTTTTTTTTACAAACTGCTGTCTTTCCTTTAAAATTTCATCTGTATCTGGTCTGGACAACATGACATTTACCTTTTAGGCATGACCTAGATAAGTTGATGACAAACTCTTACGTTAAAAGCAACGTCATTTTTGAGTTTGATTTAACATCACCCAAAAGGTTCCATAGACCTTTATAGCATGTATCACTCACTGTGTTACGCAGAAGATACATTACGTTCCTGCAGGCACTGACTGCATGTCATCCTAGGAAACAGCTTCTTTTGAGGTGTACATGTATAAGTCAGTTTTCAACTATAATACGACTTGTGGCCTGAAATGATTATACGAAAGATGCTTTATCTTCAATTGAAAATTGTGTTTAAATTTGTCTAATAGAAAAGATAATGTATGAACACGAGATCCTAGTATCAAAAAATATGATGTAGTACCGTCTATAAGCAATTTAAACAGGTAGTTTAATTTGGTGATTCAATAAATATAGATTATCAAAGATTAAAAAACTCAACTCAACGAATGTTATCTTAAAGTAGAGCAAAGATCTCACCAAAGACATTTTCTGATAGTGTCCATCCATGGATGTATTATTCATGAAAAATGTCAGATCCAACATCTGCAGGAAGTCCAGTATTGTGCATCTTTAGATGCATTATACATGCAAGTTTGGTCCAGGTAGGGATTATATAGGAATGAATCTACTCAAAAAACTTTAACTTGTTTAACACTCCGGTAAAGGAAGAGTCAGATTCTGCATCCGAACTTCTGAAGCACGTCTGGTAGCTTCTGCTTCAGACATTAATTATTAATACAGGTTTGGTTAACGAAGGAATTATAGTTATTCTAAAATGAATCTGTTCCAAAAATTCTAAAACTCTTTAAAACTCTTTAAAACTTAAAGAAAAAGATCTTGGTAACTCATCAAAAAATTAAAGACAAGATCCAGCATCTAACTCATACATGCAAATTTGGTAGGTTTCACATTTAATTTAGTATGAACCTGCTCCAAAAAATTTAAACTTTGTCATACATCAAGAAAATAAAGGCCAGGTCAAGCATCTGAATGAAATCTGATAGCGTGCATCATCGTTTAGTGGTCATAGAATTTATAGTTTTATAGGAGAGTAAGAATGGACCTCTTCAAAAGAGCTTGTCTGGATATTGAAGATCGGATCCAACATCTGATGTATGTGTTGAAGAGTGCATCCCAACATATAAGTTTGGTTAAATTCGAAAATGTTCATATCTTGTGATTGTTCAACAACAAAATTACTTTTTAAGAATTATTTTTATTACACACAAGTACCCTGAAGAAAATATACAAATGATGGTCAAGTTTCACATTGACAATATCCATGTAGTCTTTGGAGCAGGGTTCTCCATGGGCTGTTTAACGTGGCGGCCCCGCCACAGTTAAATTCGCTAGCGCCACAGTTAAAAATTTTGCGCCACAGTTCCGCCACAGTTAAAATATTAGCGCCACAGTAAGATCGTCGTCGTCAGTAAGATAAATATATAAAATGAATCAAATAAACCTCTTAATTATGCACCGTAAAGGCGTGTTTCAGCTGTTAAATAAATGTGCTCTAATTATAGGATCCACTGTTTGGCTTTTACAATTAATTATCTTCCAGACCTCGCTAGACACATGAATGAAAAGCCATTTTTTCACACTTCATGATAATTAGAACTGAATTTTAAAATACCAGTTAATTAATTGCTTTAATAGTTTTACAGATAACTATATGTAAGTTTCTAAAATTGCATTGGTACTACGAAGTCAAAACATCGTACGTGTATCGATTGTAAATATTCATGTATTTTTGTAATGTTGAAAAGTTAACAAATAATGAATACATCCACAAAATATAATTTAATAAAAATATAATTTGATGACTTTAAACTCTTTTTAATTATTTTAATTCACAAGTTTTAAGATAAATCAGTCTGATAATTGCAAATATATAGACTAGATGTAAATATGACTGGTGACCTACCAGAATATTTCGTCTGTACTTTAATGAAGACGGCAGGTAAACAATATTATTTTTTAAATTAGGGTTAAATGCTAGAAAGTTGTAATTATTGTTACTATTACATGTATTTTCAGATTCTATAAACTAATATTTGTTTATTTATAAGTAAGTATGAGTTTGGTAGGGGTTGGGTCTTTTGTCACAGTATATATATATTTCGGAAACATCCTAATTTTATTTTACACTATGTTTTATTGATTAAATTTTTATTACTGAATTTATCAATCATTTTTCCAATTAGTTAATGCCATTAATTAATTTGTGTATTAAACTAGTGATTCATAGGGGCACTGTGTTTTTCAATTTATTTCGTGGTTCCTTCGCAAATTCGGTCGCGAAATGACCGCGAATATTAGCACTTCGAGTAAGTCTTGCGCCACAGTTAAATCTAAAATGATTGAGAACCCTGTTGGAGATTAAGACTTCAATAAACTGTTGAAATTACTAAAAGCACGAATTGTCCTTCTTTATTATCCGTCCTTTTTCTGTGCATTATGAGGTAGCATTTATCAAAAAATTACTACATGAAAAGGAGATTCTTACTGTCGATGACGTTTTAATTAGATATTCTCATTCATATGTCAGCTCGATTTAGTCCAGTGAACTTGAAATAAAAGACCACAGATTTGAAGCATTTGTTTAATAGTTGGTTGCATTACTGATTATAGACGTTAATGGTAAACTAAGAATTAAATTATTGACTAATAAGTTGATGAAACAAGAATATGTGCTTTCTCGTTTAAAGTCATCATTTCGTAAGTTCTGTGGTCGATACAATGACCTTGTCAGCAAATACAATTTATCATTGAGTCAAATGCTGACTGACGTTTTTCATACTAATTGTTAGGCCATTATTTACACACTGAATTGTCGACGGATTTTCCCGTTATTTCCCGATCATGACAAGGAGCACACGGCAGGTGTGACCGGTCGGCAGGGGATGTTCATTCCTCCATGGCACCTAATCCCACCACTGATGTTTGGAGGTCCGTGTTTGCTCTGCTCCTATTTTGTATTGTTTAATGGACTTTTGAGCTTGAATACTGTTCGTTATCTCCATATATTTCATTACAACTCAAGAAGAAGCTATTTCTTTATTCTCGCCTGCGCAAATGAAACACACATTTTGATAAGAAATATATTGCACTTAAAACATGAATTTAGCAATTTTACTATGGTATTATATATATATATATATATATATATATATATATATATATATATATATATATATATATATATATATATATATATATATATATATATATATATATATATATATATATATAATAAAACACTTTAAAACACTTTTTGAAATATTTCAACCGTGTTACCGGCCTTCATCAGTCGTATTATACAGGCATATATATTACTTTGTAGTTTCCATTTGCCCCATCTTTATACAAATTACAGCCTGAATTCAAATACGTTTGCTTTGAAAGAAGTTTTCACAGGTTTTGGAATTGAGCACCACTACCAATTGAGCACCACTACCAATTAAGTACTATATTTCTGTTTTGTTACTGGCAGGTACTGAACACGAATACTTTTTGAATTTTTTAAATTCATGAGGACTGTTTCCTGGCAACAGAATTTTGAAAAATGCGACCTATTTGAGAAACACTCTTATGCTTTCTGAAATATGGGACGATGTTAAAAAATAAATTTATTTTTTTTAGAAATACTAAACAAGCACAAAGTGGTACTGCATCCTTAAGAATCAGCTTCTGAACACCAAGAAATGCTCAAACGCAACTTCTATTTAACGAGTAATATTCCTCTATATTTCTCAAGTTCTAAACAGAGGCAGGCTCCTGCCGTCGAAATTGACTTTGCAGGACTTAGGCATATAAGTAATTAAATGTATTTGAATGTATAACAAGCTGTTTTTTTTTTTACAAAACATATCTGCTTTCTTGTTCATTTCCATGAATTTCAGATATTGAATTCGAAGATATTTCGCGAACTTAAACTTTAACACTGTTTAGAGATCTTCTCTCCAAAAACACCTTCAAAGATAGATATGGTCTGTCTCAGTAAACACAACACTTGCTTAGCACTATCTTGTGCATGTTTATTCTGTACATTTATTTACACGTTGTGATTCTTTTCTACACTGCTGGCCAGTAACATTACCATATGGAAGTGATCTTGATCGTTGAGGATACTGAAGCAAGCTGCACGATGCTTTAAAAGTACAGCTTACAAATAAACATTAAATTCAGAATGATAAACACATTTGCAAACAAAATTAAATAACCTAATGGGTCCAGTTTCCCATTATTTTAGTCTAAGAAAAGATTAATACCACAGAGCATTCAAGAGTTGATATAATAATAAAAGCGCACCATATGTAGCATCTATAACTGCAATATAGATAATGATATGTGAAAATAACGAACAGAAATCAAGTTCAAAATTTCACTTGAACATTCCAAATGAGAAGAAGAGTAAACCCGACCCCTAGAAACATCAGCTGTGAGATTAGGTGCCAAAGAGAAGTAAGCATCCCCCTTTCATATCTACCATGAATCCTTTGTATAAATCGTGTAAAAGGAGTAATCAATAGACAATTCAGCATGTTTAATTCCTAGTCAGGCAAAAGCTAGAGAATTGAATATTTAACTAAATTTAAAGTACAGCTGTAAATTCATTTTGTTTTCAATCAAAATGTTTAGTGCATTTGTTCTGTACGT